CATCACCATCATCTTTATCTTCAGTTGCATCGTTGCCATCATCATCATCATAATCATCATCATCATCATCATCATCATCATCATCAGCATCGGCATCATCAGCATCAGCATCATCATCGCAATCAGTAATCAGTCATCATCATCATCATCATCAGCAGCAGCATCGTCATCATCATCATTAGCAGCAGCGCTATCACCACAATCAAGAGTCAGTCATTCTCATCACCGGCAGCATCCTCACCATCATCATCATCATCATCATCATCAGATTCATCTTCTTCATCTTCTTCATCATCATCATCATCCTCAGCATCGTCATTATCATCATCACCACAACCAATGCTCAGTTGCCATCGTCATCATCAAAATCAGCATCATCAGCAGCAGCACGGCATCATCGTAATCATCCTCATCCTCATTCTCGTCTTCATCGTCGTCATCAGCATCAGCATCGTCGTCATGGTAAACATCATCGTCAGTATCAGCATCATCATCAGCATCATCAGCATCATCATCAATCGTCGACATCATGATCATCACCAGCATCAGCATCAGCATCAGCACCAGCATCATCATCATCGTCGTCGTCAACATCAACATCGTCGGCATCATCATCACCACCATCACCGTCAGCAGCAGCAGCATCATCATCATCATCACCATCATCGTCATCGTCGTCATCATCGTCGCCGTCGTCGTTGTCATCGTCGTCTCCATCATTATCGCCATCATCATCATCATCATCATCATCATCATCATCATCATCATCAGCATCAGCATCAGCATCAGCATCATCATCATCATCATCATCATCATCAGCATCATCATCATCATCATCATCATCATCATCATCATCATCATCATCATCATCATCATCATCGTCACCATCATCACCATAACCATCACAACCATCATCAGCACCACCATCATCATGATCATCATGACCACCAGCATCGGCAGCATCAACATCATCATCATCATCATCATCATCATCATCATCATCATCATCATCATCACCATCGCCAACAACAACATCATCAGCAGCAGCAGTAGTATCAGCAGCATCAGAATCGTCATCATCGTCAAAAATCATCATCATCATCAGCAGCAGCATAATCTTCCTCATCATCATCGTCATCGTCATCATCATCAGCATGGTCATCATCGTCGTCATCGCAATGATCATCACCATCAGCAGCATCATCGTCAGCAGTATCAGCAGCATCATCAACAGAATCGGCATCATCATAATCATCGTCATCATCATCAGCATCACCATCATCGTCACAACTGACATCATCAGCAGCAGCAGCAGCAGCATCATCAGCAGCAGCACCATCATCATCATCATCATCATCATCATCATCATCAGCATCATCATCACCATCACCCTCATCATCCTCATCATCCAAGTCATTATCATGCTCATCCTCGTCATCATCACAAGCAGCTGCGTGGCCCCCCACCCCGCTGGACCTCCTGAGCGCCCACGAGAACTGCGCACGCGGCGCACTTCGCGGCCACCCACGGAGCAGCGAGGGGTCCCGTCCGGGAGCGCGTGGACCTCCACTCGGCCAAACCTCCCAGGAGCCCAAGAACCACCCAGGGAGCTGCGAGGTCCCGGCCCGGAGCGCGTGGCCCCCGACTCCGCTGGACCTCCCAGGAGTACTCTGGCGTGCCTCCCGGGAGCCCACGAAAGTGGCGACGGTTGCACGGTCCGCAGCCACCAGGGTAGCAGCGAGGTCCCGTCTCGTCTGGGTCCCTGTGCGCCCCGACTCTGACGGACCTCCCAGGAGCCCACGAAAGCGGAGCCAGTTGCGCAGCTGAAAGGCACAGAGGTTCCGTCTGGGTCCGCGTACTCCCCGACCCCGCTGGACCTCCCAGGAGCCCACGAAAGCGGCGACAGCTGCGCAGTTCGCAGCCACCCAGGGATCTGCGCGGTCTCGGCTGGGTCCGCGTACTTCCCTACTCCGCCGTGTCTCCTAGGAGACCAGATGGCAAGAGGAGGAACCGGGAGAGGAGAGGAAAGGAGGATTGGATACCACAGTGCTCGTCAAAACGAAATCCCAACGCAGGAGGGTTTGAGATAAACAACGCCCGGATTCGGGCGCCAGGACTGTCACGCGTCGACCAAGCTCGAGAAATCCAGCAGTCTCTCTCAAGACTTCCGATGTCGAGGCCCCTGCTGCGCGCAAAAGCGAACTGGGCACCTGAGCCGCACCTGAGCGACAGAAAATGGGGGTCTGCGCAGAAAGACATCGCGACCTTCGGCGACGGCCTATGCAGGCCGCCAGCACGGCACGACGCGTAGAAGAGAGGGCGGTTACGCGTGACCTTACGCGGGCAGCTGACGCGCGAATGCCCGCGCAGTCGGCCCCGTCGCCTGTCTGTGTCGCAAGGACAGCGAGATCAGCTCCGTGCGGCGGGGGATTGCAGCCCGACGGCCTGGCCACCGACCACTCGAAGACGGCCAGCTCCAGGGGCATCCTCGGAGGGAGGGACGCCCACATGGTGCGCACATGCGCACACACGCACTTTTCTGGCGCCGCGGCCACGCCCGCGGGGGCGCAGAGTAGAGCGGCTTTAAAAAACATGCGCACCCACAGACACTTCTTCTTTTTTTTTGGTCGCGGCCGCTAGCGAAGAGCACAGGCGGCGAAAGCAATTGTCCGGGGCTGCGAACAAGGCTAATCAGCTACAAGACGCGCCGCAGGCAGGCCGGCCCACTCACCGAGCAGCAGCGGGGCTGTGCGGGAGGCTGACAGCTGGGGGCATCCAGGGAAGCTCAGGCACGGCACCCACAGACAGACACACACACACTTTTTTCAGAAGGGAAAAAACACACAGACATAATTAATCGTCGATTCCCCCGAAAATATGGGAAAATATGGGAAGTGGGAGGGAAGACAAAACCCAGAAAATATCGGAACATATGGGGAATCTGTTGATTTGTGTGTATATTTATTTGTGTGTCCTGGGGCCCCTTCATTCTTGGCGGTTGCGGCCCCGCGCTCGGCGACGAGGCGGCGAGAAAGTGCACAGGCAGAGCGCGCGGCGGCCGGGCCCTCGAGCGTCAAAACTCTGGCTGCGGCCCTGCCGGCCGGCACCGGCCCGCCGGGCGCGGAGGGCGGGAAGGGTGGACGCGATACCGTGGGCGATACAGTCGGGGCCTTGACCTAAGGAACCCAAAATAAGGAACGAGGCCCCTTTTTTCCATAAGTTAAACTTCGACTTCCGAACGAAAACGTAAGGAAAACCTGAGGGAGGCCTCCGATTTTCCATGGAAAACCTCAGGAAAACATGGGAAAACCCGAGGAGCACTGCAAAGCAACTAAGGAACGCGGAGCCCCTCCCCAACGAGAAGGGTTCCTTCTGCAGGGCCCCGGCTGTACCCGCATGGCAGCATGAGGCAAAGGAGAACGGCATCAGCCATCTGGGCGTGAATGGGAGGGAGGGTACGCGCAGTACTGCGGGAGGGACCCACGTGGCAGCGTGAGCAGGGGAGGACGGCGACGGACAGCGACCGCGGAAGGCAGCGAGGCACAGGACCGAGGGGCTGCCCCAACGGCGGGCGCGAAGAAACAAAGGAAAGAAGGCTCAGCGAAGCCAAGCAAAGTGCAGGGCACGCCAAAGGGCGACGGCAAGGGGACACACACACACACACATAGACACACACACACACACAAATACACACACAGACACACACAGACACACACACACACACACACACACACACACACACACACACACACACACGCACGCACGCACGCAGGCACGCACGCACGCACGCACGCACGCACGCACGCACGCCCCGGGGACACAGGCACGCACGCACACGCGCACCGCTCTGGAACCCGCCCAGGGCCATCCTAGCCAGCTACTCAAGCTGCGTCAGCTGTGGCGACGAGAATCTGCAGAAACGCTCGAAGGCCTCCGAAACGAAGACGTCGTGGTCGCTGTCCTGCAGCCGAGGATCGCCAACGACACCGCCGCGCCGCGGTACAGGGACAGCAGCCCTTCCGCGGCGCGAGCGTCTCGCAGGCATCGCCTCGTGGAGGGGGGGAGCGGGCGCTGCATCGGCGCGCCGGGCACCCTGGGGGCACTGCTGGCCATCGCCGGCGAAGCGCACCGAGAGGCAACGACCAGGGCCACAGCGGCGGGGGCGACCACGGTCGCGGCCCAGGAGGCGGCGGCGACGGCAGCGGCGGCCACGGTCACGCTGCGCTGGCGGCCGCGGACACGGCGGCGGCGAGGGCGGCGACGAGGGCCGAGGGCGAGGTCTGCAGGCTTCTCCCACAAACCCCCCGCTTCCGGATGGCTCGGAGAACCTCGAGCCTCGAACCCCAAACGACTAAGGCCACTCTGTCGCGAGGCCGGACGGCGAAGGCGCAAGATCAGTCAGCATCGAGTACGAACGAGCACAAACGAATCGGGCTGATGTGGCACGCAGTCGGAATCCAATCGCATCGGCTGCTCCATGATGCACAATTGTGCCATGCGAGCGTCGGGCCGCATCGGGTCGTCGAACTGAGTATCGAGTCGGACCGATTAGCCAAAGGACGTAAATGCAAGCATGTGGCCAGATAGCGCCGCAATTTCTCCTCGCCCCCCGAGGACCAACAACCATGACGGACAATCTGAAGTACTGGCGCTTCTATCATGTCTGCTGCATACACTCTAGAAGTGCGCAGTGAAATGGAAATGTTGAAGCTAAACGTAGCATGCGATGTGTTGTTCGCACAGCCTCTGGAACGAAAACGAAGAGTAGTGGGCGCAGCGGGAAAAGAAGAGTGAGGCTAACCTGCACAATATTTGCGGTGCTCTTTGCGCGGCGTCTAGGCCGATGGCATGCACCAAACCACTGCTGCGCAGTGGCCCCGCGGTGGGAGAGGAGAGGGGACGAGGGAGGAAACGAGCACCAGAAAGAAGAGCAGAGTGCAACCGAGGTTCCATGGACTGGCCAGAGGTCCGTGTGGCTTAGAACCAAAATGCACATCTCCTCAAGCCCCCAGCAAGGTGCGGCGGGCCGGGTGCATCAAGCCGCCCACCGCTTCGAGCGCCTGAAAGGCCTCGGCCTGGCTCTTGCCGCTGGCCACCACGTCCTCACGAGCAAGGAACTTCTGGAGCACGCTAGTGAAGCCCGCTTTCTCCGCCTTCTCCGCGATGTCCTTCTCGAGAACGACTGCCGCCGTCGCCGGTGCAGCCTTGCCGCGGCTCTTGCCCTGAGCCCCGGGGGCCTTCTTGCTGGAGTCGCGATCCACAGACGCGCGGGACAGCTTCGCAGGAGGCGTCTCGGCCTTGTCCGCCTTGCGCTTCCGGGAGCTGCCCTGCTTCGCTGGAAGCGTCTTGGCGTTGTCCGCCTTGCGATTCCGGGGACTGCCCTGCTTCGCGCCGTCCTCGACGCCACCGTTGTTTTTCCACTCCTCCACAGCCTTGTCTGGATCGGCCCCGCGAGCCGCCGAGAGCTCCCGACCAAACCACCCCAAACCCAAAAAACAAAAACACCAAAAATAACAAAAATGAAAACCCCATAAATACCATGAAAAACCCATACATACGACAAAAAAAAACTAAAAGCCATGAACAGCCCAAACATACCGAAACTACCCTGCACCCAAAAACTAGAAAGCGCGCCATGGGGCGCACCAGCCTTATGGTATAGCTTGATGGGCCCCGCGGGCCACCACAGGGCCCCGACCAAAGCCCCCCCAAACCAAGAGAACTAAAATCCCCCCCCCCCCAAAAAAAGGAACCATAAAATATGAGGAAAAAACAAAAAATACCATAACTACAAAGACAGGACGCGTCGCATTCAGGCGGGAAGCGGGTAGTAGGGGCCAGGGCAACCGCCCATGGGGCGCATCAGCCTTATGGCTGAGATAGTTTAGAAAGCTTAGGAAGCTTGACAGATGATAAGATTTAGAATGCTTCGACGGCTGATGGGTGTTGGGGCTGATGAAGCTTGGAAGGCTTGTAGGAATTAGAAGGCTCACATAGCTAATAAGGCTTACAGGGCGCACATGGCTTAGAAGGCTGACCAGGCACCGTGGGCCAACATGGTTCGTACTCATCATAATCATCAGATTCAGCATCGTCATCATCATCATCATCATCATCATCATCATCATCATCATCATCATCATCATCATCATCATCATCATGTTCATCATCATCATCACCTTGCTGGGGGCTCTTGCCCTGAGCCCCGGGGGCCTTCTTGCTGGAGTCGCGATCCACAGACGCGCGGGACAGCTTCGCAGGAGGCGTCTCGGCCTTGTCCGCCTTGCGCTTCCGGGAGCTGCCCTGCTTCGCTGGAAGCGTCTTGGCGTTGTCCGCCTTGCGATTCCGGGGACTGCCCTGCTTCGCGCCGTCCTCGACGCCACCGTTGTTTTTCCACTCCTCCACAGCCTTGTCTGGATCGGCCCCGCGAGCCGCCGAGAGCTCCCGACCAAACCACCCCAAACCCAAAAAACAAAAACACCAAAAATAACAAAAATGAAAACCCCATAAATACCATGAAAAACCCATACATACGACAAAAAAAAACTAAAAGCCATGAACAGCCCAAACATACCGAAACTACCCTGCACCCAAAAACTAGAAAGCGCGCCATGGGGCGCACCAGCCTTATGGTATAGCTTGATGGGCCCCGCGGGCCACCACAGGGCCCCGACCAAAGCCCCCCCAAACCAAGAGAACTAAAATCCCCCCCCCCCCAAAAAAAGGAACCATAAAATATGAGGAAAAAACAAAAAATACCATAACTACAAAGACAGGACGCGTCGCATTCAGGCGGGAAGCGGGTAGTAGGGGCCAGGGCAACCGCCCATGGGGCGCATCAGCCTTATGGCTGAGATAGTTTAGAAAGCTTAGGAAGCTTGACAGATGATAAGATTTAGAATGCTTCGACGGCTGATGGGTGTTGGGGCTGATGAAGCTTGGAAGGCTTGTAGGAATTAGAAGGCTCACATAGCTAATAAGGCTTACAGGGCGCACATGGCTTAGAAGGCTGACCAGGCACCGTGGGCCAACATGGTTCGTACTCATCATAATCATCAGATTCAGCATCGTCATCATCATCATCATCATCATCATCATCATCATCATCATCATCATGTTCATCATCATCATCATCATCATCATCAGAATCATCATCATCATCATCATCATCATCATCATCATCATCATCATCATCATCATCATCATCAAAATCGTCCATCATCCGATCCATCATCATCGTCAGATTCATCATGATCATCAGACTCACTACCATCATCAGATCCATCAGAATTGTCATCATCATACTCACCATCAACATATCACCATCTGCACCATCCGACGCATCATCATGGTCAGAGTCACCAGCATCATCATAATCATCATCAACCTACCCATCATCATAATTATCGCACTCATCATCATAACTATCGACATCGGCCTCATCATCATTATCATCATCAGGTGCACAATCATCGTCATCATATTTATCATAATCAGCATCATCAGACCATCATCTTCATCATAGTCATCATAAAAAATCACCATCAACAGATGCATCGTCATCATCAATTCATAATCATGAGTATATTCACCACATGCATTACAATATCAAGTATCATCATGTTCATCATATCAGCATTATCAACACCACCCCCAGATTTATCATATTCGTCGCCATCATCATCATCGTACTCCTCATCAACATCATCAGACTCATCATCATCATCATCAGATTCAACCGCATCATCAGATACATCAGCATCCTAACATTCTTGGCCATCACCATAAAATGATCACAATCCCCAGGTTCATCGTCATCAAATTCGTCAGCACCATCAGACTCATCATCATCATCTGGCTCATCATCATCATAGCACCATACTCATCATCAGCATCGGACGCATCACCTTGATCAGCAGTAGCAGCATCATCATCATATTCATCGTCATCATCTTACGCATCGTCATCACTACACTCATCAAAGTCATAATCAGACTCATCATCATCATATTATCATCCCCAGAATGGTCATCGCCAGACACATCACCATCATCAGACTCATCATGGTCATCATATTCATCATCACCACCAGATCAAATATCATTATCATCACCAGATTCCACCATCATCATCAGATCCATCATCACCGGATTCATCACCGTCATATTCGTCATCAGAATCATCAGACCCACCATCATCACCATCATCATCGAATAAACCATTCGTCCTCATTGTCAGATTCATCATCGTCCTCATCATATACATCATAATCATCATCATCATCATCATCATCATCATCAGACTCATCATCTTCATCATAGTCACCATCCGAACCATCAGCATCAACAGATGCGTCAGCATGACCACATTCGTCATCATCACCATATTCGCCATAAGCAACATCACCAGATGAATCAGCATAACCATCATCAGATTCATCACCATCATCAGATTCTTATCACCACTATCATAATCATGACCATCAGATTCACCACACGCACCATCATCATCATCATCATAAAATTCATCACAATGATGAGATGCACCACCACCATCAGATTTATCATGATCCTATTCATCCCCGTCACTAACTTCATCGTATCTACCATCATCATCAGACCAACCATTATCATCATCATCATCATCATCATCATCATCAAACTCACCATCAGCATCAGGTCTCATGTTCATCATCATCATCATCATCATCATCATCATCATCATCTGATTCGCCATCATCATAATCATTTCCATCGTCATCAGAAACATGATCACAATCATACTCATCATCATCACCATATTCATCATGATATCATCACCAGTTCCATCACCACAGGAAACAGAATGATTACCATCATGATCACATGCACCATCATCATCATATTCCTGATCACCATCAAGATCATCAGGTACATGATACTCGTCATCATCATCATCAAATTCATCATCATCATCATGTTCTTCACCATCCCCATCATAATCATCACATTCCCCATTATCATCTTCAAATCCATCATATTCATCACCATCATCATCATCATCATATCCACCATCAACATCAGATTCATCAGCATTACCAGACTCATCATCATCATCATCATCATCATCATCATCATCATCATCATCATCATCATCATATTCATCAACATCAGTATCATTTTCATCAACACCACCACCAGATTGATCTCGATCATCAGATTCATCAGCACCACCACTAAAGCCGCAATCATCATCTGATTCCGCATCATCATCAGATTCACCATGATGACATTCATCGTCATCATCTTCAGATTCATCATCATCACATTCATCAGACACATCATCATCACCATCATCATCGTGATCAGCTTCATCATCATCATCATCGTCATCGGCATCATCATCATCTTCGGTATCGTCATCGTCATAATCAGATTCATCATCATCAGTTCCTTCATCATCACCATGAGTGAGCATCATCGTCAGATGCATCATCATCTGATTCGTCAACATCATCATCATCGTCATCGTCCTCATCATCACCATCATCATCGTCAGCGTCATCACCATCATATTCATCATCATTATCATCATCTAACTTATTTCCATCATCATATTAGCTATCATCATCATATGCAGCATCATCATCAGATTCATCATCTTCGTCAGTCTCATGATACGGGAGAAAAACCCAATCAGAATCTTTGTAGGGCAATGGGGATATTGGGCTATAGGGCTGTAGGACCATAGGGCTATATGTCTATAGGGCTATGAAAACTATGGGGCCTATAGGCATATAGAGCTATAGGGCTATAAGGCTACAGGGCGATAGGGCTATAGGTCTAAAAGGCTATGAGTCTTTAAGGCTATAGGGATATAGGGATATAAGGGCTATAGGGCTAGAGGGCTGTAGGGCGATTGGGCTATAGGGCTTTAGGGGTATAGGGCTATACGGCTACAGGGGTATAGGGCTATAGGGCTATAAGGCTATAGGGCTATAGTGCTATAGGGCTATAGGGCTATAGGGCTATAGGGATATAGGGCGATAGAGCACCCGGGCACCCAGGCACCGGGGCACCCCAGGGCACCTCCGGGCACCCGTGGGCACCTCCAGGCACCCCCGGGCACCCGGGCACCCGGGCACCCAGGCACCCCCTGGCACCCGGGCACCAGGGCACCCAGGCACCCGGTCCGGCCACTCAGAATCATCATCAGATTCATCATCATCATCATCATCATCATCATCATCATCATCATCATGAACATCATCATCAGGCCTATCATCATCAAAGTATTAACCATCGGCATCAGATCCATCATCATAATCAGACTTATCATCATTACCATATTCATGATCGTCACCATATTCATCATCATCGTCATCATCAAGTTCATCAATACCATCATCGTCATCGCCAGCATCATCATCATCATCGTCATCATCGCCATCGTCATCGTCAGATGCATCATCAGATTCATCGGCATCGTCATCAGGTTCAGCATCATCCTTTCCATATTCGTCATCATCATCAGATGCATCATCAGCATCATCACATTCGTCATCCTCATCCTCATCAGATGCATCATCACATTCGTCGTCATCATCATCAGCAACATCGGCATCGCCATCAGCATCATCATATCCATCATCATCATCAGGTTCAGCATCATCAGATAAATCATTACCGTCATCATCATCATCATCATCATCATCATCATCATCATCATCATCATCATCATCATCATCATCATTGTCATCGACATAACCATCATCATCACCACCAAAATCGTCATCATCATCATCGTCATCATCATCACCATATTCATCATCAGTATCATATCCATCATATGAAATCCCCATCATCATCATCAGGATCATCATTATCATCAGGTTCATCATGATCAGCATCATCATCGTCATCGCCGTCATCATCATCATCATCATCATCATCATCATCATCATCATCGTCATCGTCTTCGTCATCGTCATCGTTATCATCATCATCCTGATCAGCGTCCTCGTCGTCGCCGTCGTCAGCATCATCGCCGTCACCATCGTCATCATCACCATCAGAAACATCATCATCATCAGATTCTTCCTCCTCATCAGATTCGGCATCATCATATTCATCATCCTCATCATCAGATTCATCATCGTCGCCATCGTCACCATCAGCATCAGCATCGTAATCGGCATCGTCATCATTATCATCATCAGCATCATCGTCGTCGCCGTCGTCAGCATCATCGTCGTTAGTATAAGCATCACCCTCATAAGACTCAGCATCATCATCATGTTGGTCATCATGCTGATCAGCATAATCAAATTCATCATCATCATCATCATCATCATCATCATCATCATATTCATCATCATCATCAGGTTCAGCATCATCGTCATCATTGTCATCCTCATCGGCATCATCACC